TGATAACTAGCAACTGTATTTACGTTGTGATCTGGACACAGCTCATCACGTGGTAAATGGCCGCTGAGATAGGCCTTTGACCTAGTCATGTGATCAGCTGTGTCTGTAGGACACAGCAATCACTGACAGCGCCGAGTGTGCGCCGCTGGGTTCGCGTTCTGGAAGGATGTCATATGACGCCCTTCTAGAACTGGACAACTGCGCTGTAGCTGTCATTCGGTTATAGCGTGGTTGTAAAGTGGTTAAAAAGCACTAGTCCATCTAGTTCAACCAATTTAAAAAACACACAAATTGAACACCTCCATATACACAATCCTATACCCACAGTCATTCCTGTGGAAGACAAAAAAAAACCCCAGCAAAGCCTGATCAATTTTACTCCTGCAGGGGGAAAAAAAGTCTTTCTGATCCCCCCGGAGGCAATTGGTGTTATCCCACAGTTTCTGCATTCTGCTGCAGGCCCCCCCCCCCCCCCCCCCCTTTTTTTTTTTTTTTTTTTTTTTCTTTTTCTTAATTGAGGACGTGTATTCTAGTGCATTATTGATTATTTTTGCCCCGTTCCTTACAGAAAAAAAATGCAACATGTTCTACTGTTGTTGACTGCACTGATGTGAACTAGGGCCATTGGATTCCATGGTAAACGCTGTCCATGCATTTTTAATGCAGAATAATAATGCACTGGAGCGCATCTGGTGTGAACTAGCCTTAAAAATTAATATCCAGTTATAGTTTGTGCATTTAGAAAAGAATCCAGGCCTTTTTTTAAAAAAAAATAATCTACTGAACTAGCCAGAATCAACTCTTAAGGGATTCTATTCCACGTTTCCACAGCTCTTACAGTGAAAAAGCCTTTCCGTATGTGAAGATTAATCTCTTTCCCTTGATTCTTCCTTTAAAGCAGGTTAAGAAGGACTTGGGTGCATTTATATGATCAAAAACTGTTTGGCCTTGAAACAGACACCCTAGGTGACACTCACTGGTTCAAATGGCAATTAAAGGTTTATTTCCCACATCTGTGGCTTTTTAAATTGCAATTAGTGTCTGTATAAATTAGCTCTCGTGGGAGCACTGAACAGGCTAGATACTGAGCCATAGGGAACAGAAAAGCACTGTCAAAAGACCTGCTTAACAAGGTAATGAAACTTTATAAAGATGGAAAAGGTTATAAAAGATATCCAAAGCCTTGAATATGCCAGTCAGCACTTTTCAATCACTTATAAAGAAGTGGAAAATTTGGGGATCTCTTGATACCAAGCTAAGGTCCAGTAGACCAAGAAAGATTGCAGCATGAGTGTGGACGCTACTCGACTGCTCGTGGAATCCTAGAGTAAGATCAAGCCCCTATAATTTTCCCGCTGCTCAAGGTAGAGAGAGTCCCAATCTCCAAGCACAACTCCTATAGGTACTAGCCCAGTTCGTGTGCTGCATAGATGAGAACAAAGGACGTCCGATCAGCTGCACTCCAAACAATCCACTTTATTGAACCAAGATAAAACCAATACAGTGGTGGACTGGAAGGTAAACAAGTTTCACGCTAAAGACAGCACTTTTTCATTACCTAAGATCAAGCCCTCCCCCCAGTGGGCGGGGCAAAACTCATCAGAGGGCGTGGCTGGAGTTTTGGCTGAGGCCATCTTACTCTAGGATTCCATGAGTGGTTGGAGCGGCGTCCACACTCATGCAGGATTCTGAAGACTGGACCTATTTGAGGACACTGCTCCCCCTTTTATGCCGGTGAGTTGACATCTCTATGTTGCAGCTTGGAGCAGTGCCAGCACGCCATGTATACTGGCCAAGAAAGATTGCAGCCACAACTGCCAGAAGCATTGTTTGAGGTAAAAAGTAAAACTTACAGATAACCTCAGGAGAAATATGGGATGCTCTTGAAAAAGAGAGTGTGGTTTCAAACAGCAAAGTACAAAGATACTTGAACAAAAATGAGCTGCATGGTGGAGTGGCCAGAAAGAAGCCTTTACTGTGCCAATGCCACAAAAAAGCCCTGTTACAATATATGCAACAACACCTTGACACGCCTCACAGCTTCTGGCACACTGCAATCTGAAGTGGCAATACCAAAATAGAGCTTTATGGTCACAACCATAAGTGCTATGTTTGGAGAGGGGTTGCCAAGGTCTATAGCGACAAGAATACCATCCTAACTGTGAAGCATGGTGGTGACTTACTGATGATTTGTGGGAGTTTGAGCCGTAAAGGCATAAGGAATCTTGTGAAAATAGATGGCAAGATCAATTCAGCATGTTATCAGAAACTACTGGCAGACAATTTGCATTCTTCTGATTGAAAGCTGCGCATGGGACACTCCTTGGACTTTGCAGCACGACAGTGACCCTAAGCACGAGGCCAAGTTGACCCTCAGTGGTTACAGCAGAAAAAGCTCAAGGTTCTGGAGTGGCCATCACAGTCTCCTGACCTTAATATCATCAAGCCACTCTGGGGAGATCTCAAATATGCGGTTGATGCAAAATGACCAAAGACTTTGTATGACCTGGAGACATTTTGCAAGATGAATGGGCAGCTCTACCACCTGCAAGAATTCGGGACCTCCTAGACAACTACTACAGAAGACTGCATGCTGTCATTGATGCTAAAGGGGGCAATACGCAGTACTAAAAACTTAGGGGATGCAGACTTTTGGACAGGGGTAATTTCATTTGTTTACTTGTTGCCATGTTTTGTTTTATGATTGTGCCATTCTGTTATGACCTACAGTTCTATATGAATCCCATAGTAAAAGAAATGTGTTTTGCCTGCTCACTCATGTTTTCTTTAAAAATGGTACATTCTGTATATTACCAATTCTCCAAGGTATGCAAACATTTGGGCACATGCCCCTGCTGACGTCACGTATGACGAAACACGTAGGGTGGAGCCATGCACACGCTACCACGAATGCACGACCGGCTGGCAGCCATTTTGGATGTTGGAAGAATAGATTTTTTGCTTTTACTTGCTTATTTATTTCCACATTCATGTGAGTGTTACCATTTTTCAAATAAACATTGTTCTATTGGTTTTACACTATGTGGAGCATTCTTCTCTTGCATGTCTTCTAATACCTATTTGGTTCCCATCCAGAGTGGTTTAGCTACCCTATTTAAGATCATTGCTTGGAGGCAGGGTGGATAAAAATCAATGATTTTTTTTTTTTTATTTAAATCGGATTTTTTTAAATTTAAATCGGATTTTTTTTGAATAAAATGCTTTTTGAGGAAAATATATTACCATCCAAAGGTTATTCCATCATGAAATAAAGATTAGTTTTTTAATTATGTAGAATAAGGCTGTATATGTTTAATTTTTTTGGTAAATAAATTCCATGAATCCATTCACAATGTCATGCTCTTCCAGAGGTTTTTGTAAGATTATTGGGCAGTTTCTCTGCCTACAAGATATTATCACAGATGCTCGGTTTACTTTTGCAGTTCTCAAAACTGAATTTGACTCAGCGGAGATCACATGCCTCTTCTTCACAGCAAAAATGTTATAACATGAACAGAGTTAAGAAAAAGACCTTAATCCTAACTTCTACAAACCTATGAATACAGAATCAACCCCTTCAGTGCGAAGTTTCAAGAAGTTCAGTGAATAGAATAGAAACAATATTTTTCTGATTGGAGTGGAATAGATCTGCACAAGAAGAAAGTGAAACTGAGTGTGAGGAGGAAGGGGCTGACAGTCTAAGTTTCTTAAAATATATATATTTTGTTTAGCCAAATTAGTTAACAAACATGGATGTTTTTAAGCAAATAACATATGCTGGAATGTTATTGTTTCAGTTGAATAAACTATTTAAATTGTTATTAAGGTAATGATTATTTTTCTCCTTCCTAAATACAACAGAAAAGTTGTCCAAATATGAATGATTAACCTATTAAACTGGGGATAAAAAAACTAATATGAAAAGTTGTTATTCTAAAAATCTTCATCTACTTGCATATTAAAGTTATACCAGCAAGAATTAGTCTTTATGTAGAAAACTAGGATTTAAATCAAGCCTTACTGACTAGTGATTTAAATCAGTTTGATTTAAATCAAATCCACCCTGCTTGGAGGATCTTTGGCGTTTCTCCCTTGGGGATCCAGAGGAGTGTCTGGCTTTCCAGTTTTTTAGGTTATCATACAGCAAAGCTTGATTGACCACTCTTAACGGGAGTCATATCACTGGTAAGCCTTTTATGTGAGTGGTTGGTGACACATCAACTATCCTTGGATTTTCCTGTTCATCGTGGCATTTGGGGACTTTCCTTTATTTTTGACAACTCTAGATGGACATTTCCTTTTAATGATTTATTATTATAATTTTGTCTCACCAATTGCTTTTTGTTAAGCGCTGCACTTTATATGTATACTTTTATATTGCCTGGTACCGGGGTGTAGTGTTCAGCTGCTATATATTTGCACTCTCAGTTTTATATTTTAGCGCTGATTTATATATATTTTGATTTGAGCACAACTGTATACACAGGTTTCACAGAAGACATATTGGGGGAATTCAGAAAAGCTGCTGTCCCAATTTTCTGGCTTTAATTCTTCTTGTTAATGTATTGCGCCAAATTCATGAAGCATCTGCGACACTTTCTGTTCCGGCAGCTACCCGTGTACCAGATCCATGTAGTTCCCAAATCCACCACTCTTACTTTGTAGTGCAATGAATGTGCCAAATTCAAAGTAAAATGACAACAGTTTGGTTCTAATGAAAGTTGAGCGAATTAAAACCAATTGTCTTGGTGTACAGAAACCCTGGTGCAGACAGATTTTGCAAAAGCATCTCGCGTGCATTCTAGAATCGGCGCAGCGTGTGCCCAGTTCAAGTACACGTTCTAGACAGGTACATGAATTTGGTGCACGCTGCGCCGCTTTTAAATTGTGCACTTTTGCTAAATTTGCCTGTACCAGTCTTTATAAATTTCAAGACTTTTGTGTTGTGTGAGTTTATTATACTAAAGTTTGCGTTTCTTTTGTTTTTATGTCTTTTCCAGTCAGCGATGGATTGGAGCTCCGACCCAAATACAACGGCATACTGCACTGCATGTCCACTGTGTGGAAACAGGAAGGTGTACGCGGCCTCTATCAGGGGGTGACCCCTAATATGTGGGGAGCCGGGGCCTCTTGGGGCCTTTACTTTTTCATGTGAGTATTTATTGATTCAGTGCAGTATTAGAATTATATTATAACATACCACCTTCTGTAGGTAGATTTTCCAGTAGTCTGTAACCCTTGTGCTGCACAGTGGCTTAGTGGTTAGCACTTCTGCCTTGCCGTAATTGGGTCATGGGTTCGATTCCCAACCATGGAGCCTCCTGCATGGAGTTTGCATGTTCTCCCTGTGTTTGCGTGGGTTTCCTCTGGGTACTCTGGTTTCCCCCACACTCCAAAGACATGCTGGTAGGTTTATTGGCTCCTGTCTAAATTGTCCTAGTTTCATCCCTGGCCATGCAGGATTTCCTGCATGGTAGGGGTTGGGGAAAGACCTGGCAACCTACCCTGTAAAATAATTGCTAAGAGAATTCATGGAAAGAGTCGCTTACGAGTGACGGTCAATGCAATCGCCAAGGGTCGGATACGACTGAATGGATAGATCGATGGGTAACCCTTGTCATTTGTAGCGAGGCCCAGCAAGGAGGGGGTCCAGTTTACTTTTTTGTTGACTCTGTGACTCCCCTGTTTTACACTGACCTATACCTTCTAAAAAGAGAGCTTTACTCCAAAGGTATCCTAAACCCGTAGGCCGGCTCAAACCATTAAACTTACAGGAACCCACGGTGTGTACCTTGCCATTCACATGCGATCCGGGTGCAGTGCGATTTCAGCCCAGTTATTTGACTGAAATTGTGCCAGACTGCAGCAATAGTAGTGTATGCACTACTTCAAAAACACAGAGCAACCGGATCGCATGGTACTACTGTACTATGAGACCCAGTGCAGGCAATCGCACCTCATTTATGATGTCTGTAAGTTAATGCTGACACCCATTGTAGATCAAAGTTGCAAGGATGAGAAACAGAGCGATCGTTCCCTCTGTACAGATCTCTGTGTTGATTGTCAACACAGAGCTGTGGGCTGTGATTATACACAGCCGATCAGTAGGTCCCTTCTGGGAATCATTGGCCGGGACTTGCTGACAGGCTTCCACTGTGTAGATGCATGTTCCCTAAACCTGGAGTCATGTAGCGACATACGGGTACGTCGCTTTGCCTATGTGGGATGCCTATCCGCAGTACATTGTGGGTGGTCTGCAAGTGGCTAAGGAAGGCTGAAAGTTGTTACCGCTGTCTGTGGCCCTGTTGGCTAGATGTCCTAGTACTCCATGTTTATTTGATGAGTGTCAGGATAGGAAGTAGGGGAATATCTCAAATAGATCTAGCTTTAACGTTCATATACTCCCAGTATTTCTATAGTGCTGACATATTACTCAGACCCATTTAGGTCAGTCCCTGGTTTGGAGTGATTGCAGCAGGAAGATCTTCTTACTGTACTCTGATTAATGCATTATTGATTTGTCTTGCAGCTATGGTGCAATCAAAGCATACAAAAAGGAGGGGAGAGCCGAAGACTTGACTGCTACCGAGCACCTCCTGTCAGCAGCTGGAGCAGGTAAGTAGCTGTTGGCACTGATGAAATTTGTAGGATTGGGCTCTGACAGAATTATGTATGAAAGGTATTCCTTTCTGTTTGTTAAAATAGTGCTGTCAAAGAAACTTGATAGAAATATGCAGAATGCATAAAAATCTTCAAGTGGAACTACGTTGCATCTGAGCACCACAAACCAAAAATTCATTTTTAATATTCAAAGCAAAGTCCCTATCCATTTCTGTGTCCATGATTTTATTTTGCAGAAAAATCACTTTGAAACCCCCTAGTATTTTTGGCCGTGGCCATCTTGAGTAAGGGCAGATGATTCATGTAGCATTTTATTTTCTGAAGTTCATCCATCCTCTGCTAAGTCATGCAGATAGGATTGTATGCTTAGCTGAGAAAACCCGGCCTCCTCTCCTGAAGACTCCTGGGATGTATGACATCATTTGCCTAGGCCTGGAAACCAGGAAGTAACCGAATGAATGTACAAATGAGTGTAAAACAAGTAAATATGATACACTTTCGTATTTATTTATTAATAAGGAGCAGCATAAGGAATATAAATAGTCAATGCTGATTGTTTAAAGGATAATTTCACCTTTTGGACAAAAATAATAAATGCACATTTTTTTGAGGTAAAAAAAATGTGCATTTATTATTTTTGTCCAAAGGAGCCTGGAAATCATTGTGCCAGTGATCAGTAGATCGCTGATTCCACGTAGGTCTCCTGCAGACCTAACAGTGTATCTGCTTGCCGTACGGGTTGTATGGCCAAGCAGATATTCTGACAGGAAGCTTCAATGAACTACCAGGGCACTCCATAGCACTGCAGGAGTTCATTGAAAGCTACTATCTATCTAAAGTGTACTATCTATCAGAGGGAGGGGGTGTGGGTGGGCGCAGCTTCGGTGTTACATGATCCATCCTAAAAATGGGTGGAACATATAACATGTTCCCAAAGGTGACCTTGTGCTTTAACCGCTTCCCATCCACCCTATAGCAGACATACTGCTACAGGGCGGCACATGTGCGCAAAATGACGTATAAATATGTGATTTTGCTCTTCCGGGTAGGGAGTGTGCACGAGTCACGTGTGTGCACGTCCTACCCGCGACGCCATTTGCGGTCTCAGCTGTCAATCACTGGGTCCAGGCCGGTGATTACTCGCTGGCCACAGGTGATTGCCAAGCATCTCCAATGGAGGGGGTAGAACTGTTTTTAAACAAAGCAGTTCTATCCCCTGTCAACTCCTGTACACTACTTTGCATGGCTGTGCGTACCACAGCCATGCATAGCAGTGTGCTTACAGTGAAGCACAAACACAGGACACAGTGTAAAACGGCACACAGTTAACCCCTTGATCGCCCCACATGTTAACCCCTTCCTGCCCAGTGCCATTAGTACAGTGTCAGTGCTTTTTATTATCACTGATCTCTGTATTGGTGTCACTGGGGATTTCAGTGACACCAAGTCAGTTCCCCTCAGTGTCATAATGCCTGCTGTAGTCCCGCTATAAGTCGCTGATCGCCACCATTACTAGTAAAAATAATTAAAAAAAAAAAAAATTCCAGTATTTATACCGCTATTTATAGACACTACAACTTTAAATAAACCAATTGACATGTATTGGGATTTTTTTTTTTTCAGCAACGACATGTAGCAGAATACATTTTTGGCCTAAATTTATGACTAAATTTGATATTTTTAATTTTTCTTACTGGACATGTTTAATAGGAACAAGTAAAAAATACAGTTTGTTTTTTTTTTTTTCTCAAAATTCTCTTTTTTTTGTTTTTTTTTTATAGCGCAAAAAATAAAAACCGCACAGGCGATCAAATCGCACCCAAAGAAAGCTCTATTTGTGGGAAAAAAGGACGTAAATTTAATTTGGGTGCTGCGTTGCATGACCATGCAATTGTCAGTTAAAGTAACGCAGCCCCATTACACAAAATATGGCCTGATCAGGAAGGGGGGTAAATCCTCAGGAGGGCAAGTGGTTAAGTTCCACTTTGATTTTACAAATAAAGTTTTAATACAGGGTGCACCCATAGCATGGTATTTACCAAGCATTATATGTGTTTTTTTAGTTTTTTTTTTAAAGAGCACAGTGGTAGATGTTTGCCTTTAGCCTTACTCTGCTTGAAACTTTGTATGGAGCTTCAGCTGCTGGCTGAGCATGAGAATATAATGTATTGATATTTAATATTTCATGTTTACCTGACCAAAAATATAATCTTTTTTGATTCTTAATACGATAAAGATGATGTTACAAAAAGAACATCCTCTTCTTCTTTAGTTAAAGAGGCGCTAAACCCTCCTACCCTCCTACCCTTTACAGCCAGGAAGGCTGCCATCTTAGCCTCTGCTTGATCTACAGCTGCTATGGTGCTGCAAATATAATCAGTTATGACACCATTTGAAGGTTTAACAGTGCCGTTGAGAACACAAGCAAATGTGCAGGTTATCATGAACAGCATAGCTAATGCTGATGTGTCATATGTGAGATAACATAGTAGTCTATGGGGCTGAAATTTCACTGGAGTCATTGAAGGAACCTTTTCCTAAGATTCACTGTGCTGAGCCCTATTGATTAGGACAGGCACCACTGAAAATAAAGTGAAACTGTTACATTGATGGGTTTAATAGAGTTTTTCTGTTTTTGGTTTGTTTGGGGGTTTTTTGTTTTTTGTTTTTTTTTTTTTTTTTTTTTTAACACAGTTGCCACAAATTCCTATCGCCAGTCAGTCACTCTAGGATAACTGTCTTACTGAAGTCAAGTCACATTATATGAATTATTAGACCTGCCTAATGCACTGTGTGCTACAGAGTAAGATGGCAGTGTAGTAAAGATATGGTAGGCCTTTGCTCATATCCTGTATGGGTAATACTGTTTATTTCTTTGTTTAGGTGCCCTAACTCTGTGTTTTACAAACCCAATATGGGTTACCAAGACTCGCCTTGTCCTTCAGTATGATGCTGGAGCTGACCCATCCAAACGCCAGTACAGAGGCATGTTCCAAGCCCTGGCCAAAATATACAGGCAAGAAGGAATCCCTGGACTTTACAAGGTAGTTTATTTAATGTGCATCATTTTACACAATGGAGTAGTATGGGAAATATAGATGAAGAGATGGCTGGACCAGTGTCAAAGGATACATTGTTATTATTCTTCAGCCTTCAGCCCTTTTCAGATCACTGTTCCTTAGTGTGTTCCCAAATTTCTCATCCTCTAAAGTGGAACCAAACTCTACAAAATACTCGGATCCACTTTCTAGAAATGCAGTGGTCCCATCCCTCGCTGGCTGCTGTCATTCTTCTCCCAGGTCCTAGTTTTTGGCTTTTTGATTGGCCAGTGGGGAATGATGTGATGTCGCACATGCACCTCTGATTCAGTAGTTTCAGCATTGCTGGAGTGTGCCAGCAATGGATACTGAGCTGCACATTCATTTGAAGACTGCAACCATACAGGTAAGTGTGTCTTATTGCAGAAGAGACATAGCATATCTTTTGTGCCGTAAAGAAGTTGCCTGTTCACAATTTATTTAATGTTAGGTTAGTTCTGTTTCAATATTTCATAGCCAACTTGTAAGATGATCTTAGTCTTGGCCACCAAACTGACCAATGTGGATGTACAGTTAAAGGTCTCATGAGATTATCACTTTTTTTTTGGGGGGGGGGGGGGTATGGGGAAATAAACTTACATTTTATTGGTCCCCTGGCCTCTAACAGTCATACACATGTGGAAGAATAAAAAAATTAGAAACTTTTCTCTGCCATTGGCTGCTGCTGCTGTCAATTATAGAGAGAGAGGAGGAAGTGGGGGACAGGGCTGAGCTGTGCTGTGTGTGGCTTTATAGACACACAGAGCCTGCTCAGGAGCGAGCATGCACGAGTACCCCCATAGCAAGCAGATTGCTATGGGGACACTTGGCGGGGGGGGGGGGGGGGGGGGGGGAATGGTGGAACAAGGAGTGCTGGTAGGGGACCCAAAAAGAGCAGGACAAGGACTTCTCTGTGCAGTGCCATTGCATAGAGCAGGTAAGTATGACATGTTTATTACTTTTAAAAAATATAAAAATGCACCTGTTACAATCACTTTGAACTGAAATTAATATATTACTTCCATATAAAGAAGAGTTAATCTCTTTATGCCCTGTAGATGGTATTATTAAGTTCTCCCTATGATTGATGAAGGAAAAACTTTCCAAGTACATAATATAGCCTGATAGCAAACCGTGTTTTATGGAACAAGTTCTATTTACGTACTGCTGACACTGCTGGGGGTTACTTTATATTTTGTGGTGAATTATTTCCCATATAGATGTTCTTGTGTGCATTATTAATGGCTTCTGTCACTGACCTGTCTGCAGGGGTTTGTGCCTGGCCTTTTTGGAACGTCACATGGCGCCCTTCAATTTATGGCATATGAAGAACTGAAACTGGAATATAATAAGCACCTTAATCGCCCCAGTGATACAAAATTGGTAAGTTTGATAAGTATTGCTTTGTATTTCCATTTAACAAAAGGCCAAGACTAGATAAGTGATAATATACAGTATTCATTACATTATAATAACTCTGTGACACTGAAATACTTGAGGCCATGATATTTTCAGATGGTGTCAAACAATGGCAGCCCCCGTATTGATTTTAGTACTGCTATACTTTTTTTTTTTTTTTTTTTTAATACTTGGTTTAATTAACCGCTTTCGTGCTACAGGGCAGCACAAGTGTGCAAAATCACGTGTGTGTGTGTGTGTGTGTGTGTGTGTGTGTGTGTGTGTGTGTGCGTGTGTGCGTGTTTGTGCGTGTGCGTGTGTCGTGTGCGTGTGTGCGTGTTTTTTAGCAGTTCCGGTTAAAGGGCGCGCAAGCGCCCTACCCACAGTGTAATTTGTGGCTTTGACTGTCAATCACCGGGTCCGGGCCAGTGATTTCCTGCTGGCACCCATCGATCTCCAAGGATTTCCGATGAGGGAGAGACCTGTATGTAAACAATACAGATCTCTCCCATGTCAGCTCCCACACACTGCTTTGTGTGGCTCTGCATAGCAGAGGCATACAAAGCAGTGTGCTTACAGTGAAACACACACATAGTCCCCATAGTAAAACAGCAGTTAACCCTTTGATCACCCCAGATGTTAACCCCCCCCCCCTCCTGCTCAGTGACATTAGTACAGTGTCAGTGCTTTTTATTAGCACTGATCAGTATTGGTGTCACTGGGGATGTCAATGACACCAAGTCAGTTCCCCCCCGCTATATAAGTTGCTGAGCGCCACCATTGCTAGCAAAAAACATTCCAGTATATATACCGCCATTTGTAGACGCTATAACTTTCACGTAAACCAATTTACACTTTTATTGGGATTTTTATTAGCAAAGACATGTCGCAGAATACATTTTGGCCTAAATTTATGATGAAATTTGTGGTTTTTTACATTTTTTTACTGGACACGTTTAATAGCAAAAAGTCAAAAATTTAGTTTTTTTTTTTTTTTTTTTCCTTCAAAATTGTTGGCCTTTTATTGTTTATAGTGTAAAAATTTGAAAACACACAGGTGATCAAATACCACCGAAATAAAGTTCTATTCGTGGGGGGGAAAAAGGACATAAGTTTCATTTTGGTGCAGCATTGCATGACCGCGTTGTCAGTTCAAATAACGTAGCGCTGTAATGCAAAAAATGGCCTGGTCAGGAAGGGGGGGTAAATCCTCAGGAGGGCAAGTGGTTAAAGTAAAGTAATGATCATAATACAATGGGTGTCATTACAACATCCATTCTAAGTAAATAAACTAAGATTTAAATAAGATGAATGTTGGAATAGTAACTCAGATGTGTAGGATAGACAATTTACCAATTTAATTTGCCATTAAATGTTACATATACACAATGTTATGTCACATACTGTCGTGAAACTTACACAATAAAATATTTTTATAAAATATATTGTGCTTTTATTATCATTATTTATTTATTGCTACAAAGTAGCAATGGATAGAGGCAGGCATATCTGAATACTGAAGTTCAAGGTCACTAGTTTACGTAAATATTAATATTTAGCCACTCGACCCAAATCTTGTCAAATTTTAACAGGCAGCCCCTGGTTTTGTACATTAATTTAGATAGGCAATATTTGTTTGATTTCATTTTTATCCGGCGCTAATATTGATAGGGTCTGTGTGTATCCACTGGAGCACCACTGTTTCCTGGTGTAGTACAGAAGAATCCTTAAAATAGAAGTCTGTCCATACTTCTCCTGTGGATCACTGGAGTTCACTTAGTTCTGCATTCCTGTGACCCATATTCAGCCAACAAGGGGCTAAAGTTCGTAGTTGACTGATGTCACAGAGCCTGTCAGTAATGTCTGGATCCACCTAGATGCCTGACTGACAGCTGGCTCAGTCTCTCTGAATGCTTCTGCGAGCCTGAGCCAGCTGCTTCCACCCCATCTACAGCCTGGTGCTCCAGTGAGTGCTAGAGGGGCAGTCACCACTCTGTGCTCAGAGTGGACCTGAGAACTGAGCAATCTACTGTCTTTGATCACTCAGTTCTCAGTGAAGACCCAGTAGGGGACAGAATCAACATCAGATCGATTGCTGCATCTACCTAGGTTAGTATAAATTGTTTAATATATATTTTAAGAGTTGTTTCTGTGTGGTGCTAATAGCTAAATCTTCAATACCCAATATACACCACTTGGGGTTACAAATATCGGGTAAATCAAAATGAAGGCAGTAATTTGGGACCAAAACGGTCTGATTTTGTCACAACTCCAGACTGCTATACTTTAAATGTGGCCTTATGTGACTCTAGAAAAAACTGTAGCTGCTGACTTATAAAAAAACAGCCACTCACCTGTCCCACGATCCCGTGTTGCCCCTGCCGTAGCCCGTTTCACTGGCCATCCTGTATTCCAGGTGCCGGCATCTTCATTGTGGGCACCCAGCTGTGACAGCTTGCGGCTTCACAGCCGGGTGCCCACTGCGCATGCGCGAGTAGCATTGCGCTTCCTGAATGGCCCTGTCATCTTCTGGGACCTGTCACATGTCCCACAGGACTTCAGGGAGGGAGGGTAGGAGCACAACTTCCGTTTCTGATCTCCTAGGCGATCGCAGCGGAAGTGGGAGCGGGTACCTGTCAAATTCGGGTACCCCCCCCCCCCCCCCCTCACCACTCCCCAAAGGTGCCAATCCTTAATGGGGAGCGGGGGACCAATTTTTAAAGCGGAACGTCCCCTTTTTCCACTTTAATGTTTTCATTGTGATTATTATGGTGGTTCAGCAGACCTCAGGAGATCTGTGTTGACATGAGTAAGCTCTATCGCAGAGTGGGAAGCCAAGGCAGGTTGTACTTGTGTTGACTTTTGTTGGTCACTCTTGTGTGTAAAGTTAATTGCAATGCATACGCATATAGCCAAATCTCTTCAATGGTCCAGAGCCATTTCTACAGAAGCTCATATACACTGCTTGTTCTTTCAGAATACTATGGAGTACATCACAATGGCGGCCTTGTCGAAGATTTTTGCAGTGTTAGCTACTTACCCCTACCAAGTTGTTCGAGCGCGTCTTCAAGATCAGCATAACCGTTATTCTGGGGTCACAGACGTAATTAGAAGGACATGGAGGTAAGAAAAAATGTTAAGAACAGTAAAGTATATAGATGTATAGAACCAGCAAACACAAATGCTCATGCACTTGGGGATGGACTCGATGCAGGCTACAACCACATTAAGAATGCCCTGGAACATGCACACCTTTCTGCCCTCAAATAGACCGGGGGAATCTAAATATACTGAATGAGGAAAGAACAAAGAGAAGGCGCACAGGCCTAGTGCATTACCATAAAAAATGTTTAACAAAAAATAAAGTAGGTGTTGTACTCACAAACGACAATAAAGTCAGAGCCTCATTGGCTCTGAGGAAGAGGCAAGTCCTCAAAACGTGTCAGCCTATTGGATGTCTACACACCCTATTGCGGACTGTTACTCAGCGCGGTGTTGACCCAGCTGTTCTTTATGATGTGCCTTGACTATATTGTCGTTTGTGAGTACAACACCTACTTTATTTTTTATTAAACATTTTTTATGGTAATATAGATGTATAGACCTTTGCTGTCTGCTATTGCTATAAAAAAAATATTCCCACTTTGATCAATTATACCCATCAATTGTAATAGAAATAGAGACCTACATGAGCCTACCCCAAGAGTTGGGGGATGGGTGGGCCTGACTGTCTTGTCTGTCTATTGTGTCATGTCAATCAAGGTTAAAACAATTTCACATCCATCCATAGATTATTTACTGGACACGGTCCCATTGATTATACTTGGAAAAATTTCAAGCAGACATAGCTAGGGGTGTGCTTCCAGACAGATAGCAAATGATGATTTGTACAGCACACTGCCAGAGGACAGGCTTTAGACTGGGGCTGCTTTATAAAGAAAATCTTAGGTGCAGGCATTGTTCAGTTATCTTAACAGCTAGAAGAGCTGGCTTCAAAATATAATATAATAGCCGCAGCAGGAGATTGGTCCATCTGGGTAGCATGGATTGAGGAATCTGTTACATTTGATATGTGTGTGGCCAATTAAAGCCCAACTCCACACATCTAAAAAGTATCCTCTGCAGTGGGGCTGTTACTTTTATTTCATCTTGCCTATGTTCTACTTTACCATTTATTGATCGTGCCTGTGCTGCTCCTCCTACAAGTAAACTGACCACCATAGCGTGGCAGTTAGTCCATTTCGGCTGTGGTCAGTTTACATCTTCTTCATCCCGCTGAAGTTACAGATGCGCTTTGCAAGAGCACAGCGCACCTGTATCTTCTGGAGTTGGTGCATAGCCATGCCCGTCCCTCCTGACTTAGGAAAAGGGGACATGAAATTTGCCGTCGGGTCTGTTTGTGTTCCATTGCCATGTAAACGCAGAAGCTCAGCAGCAACATAATTTCCTGTAATGACGTACATGCATCGCCACACTGGATATGCACATTGGCAGGTCCATGTATTGCTGTAAAAGCTATAGCGATTACATGACCTGCACATAGCAGCTGGAAAAAGAAATTTGATTTGTTCTTTTTTTAAAGCAAGCACACAGTGATGACAGCCGGTAACTTCTCCGCCTAAAATTGGTTTTACAATTACTAAGGTTTACAGCTACTTAAAGTGTTACTAAACCCACAACAGTAAAATCAGTCTGTATCTGCAGTAAAGCATGCTTGTTATACTCACTGTGGAACCTGAGGGGTTAATCCTCTGCATTGTGTAAAAATGCAGTTTGATCCTTTCTTCTCTGTTCCTCCCCTTTTTCAAGCGACCACCTCTATTCTCCAGACTGAACCATAGGCATGCACATGCTCAGTTTGGTGTGTATTGCTAGAGAGGTTTTGTTTTTCTTGGGAGAGTGCATGTGATCAGCACAGGGCCAATCAGCACTGTCCAGACAGAGGTCAGGGGATTTGCATCCTCCTAGTGCAGAAAGAAAACTCCTCCTACAAGCGCTAGCTAGTGCTCTCCTGGACACTGATAGAAGTCACAAGACTGCTCTAACTGCTGATGAGAAAAGGTATTTAGCAGTTTACATTTATTAAAATAATTGCATTTCCATGTTCTGTGTACTGTGGGAGATCAGATATAGTGAATGCACGGTCCGGGGTTTAGTAACACTTTAAATAGTTTTTTTATAGTTCACGGTAGAGAAGAAAAAGTCTTACTTGCCTAATCCTCCGCTTCCCGGCAGGCGGCATTCCCCCACAATCTAGTGGTGGATTGTCGCATGGCATCATCACATCCAGAGTAGGGATCTTGGTGTGGTTATATGAATATAAGGACCCTAGATTGCAGAAGATCTGGGTTATAGCTGCATGGAAAAGTGAGTATGAGGTAAGTAAATCCTCCCCCCCCCCCCCGACCAAACGATCGTTAACCCTTGCAATACATGCACAGCCCTGTTGTAAGGGGTCACTTTTAGTTGCCCAGCATTGAACTTTTCACACCTGTGATATATTTAGCTGATTTTATGTTGAAGCTCAGCCCTGATTCACATGGGTGGGACTTGTCATGCGATTTGACAGTTTCAGATCACATGACGAGTTGCACACAATTGTCCTCAATTTGTCGCTCAAATCCGAGCAACTTCGACTTAGTGGCGCCGCACCGATTTGAAACAACAGGTTCCAGCACTATTTTGCGAATTCAGGTGTGAGTTGCATAGACATCTGTGCATGAAGTGGCACAGATATCAGCCAAGTCACACCTGAAGTCTTACTGACATGCGGCTTTAAAATTGGATTCAGTGTGAACCAACAGTCAGTTTGACTGTAAAGTTTTCATCTGCTCTAAAATGCAAGAGCGGTGCCCTGCAATTAAAGTTCTAGCTGGCCGCCTTGTTTGACTGAGGACTGACATGTTCCCTTTAAAAGGTTTTGGTTTTACTGATTGTTTACGCTTGGTTGTGTAGCTGGAAAATGTTAGGTGTTAATGCAATGACTGACATCTTTCTTTTTTTAATTCTTTCCCAAAGGAGAGAAGGCATTCAAGGCTTCTATAAAGGCATGGTCCCCAATGTGATTCGAGTCACTCCCGCGTGCTGTATCACTTTTGTAGTCTATGAGAATGTCTCACATTTCCTACTAAATCTGCGGAAAGATCAGCAATAAGTGCTGAATTGGACTAATTTTGGGTCCCCCTGTGTGAAGGTTTTTGAATTAATAGAAGAGAAGACCCTGGAAAATGGACATAAAAAGTGAGAGAATAATACTGACCTTTATATAGGACTTTGCACCTCACGCTGTATACATGTCTATACAGTACTTGAAGTTGGGTTTCTTAGACCTTTTTTGCCTTTTCTTTCCAGTACTGGACGGAATTGCTGGCTGCCCAAGGAGGGATGGTTGGCCTACTGTTTTTACTGTGTATGGGCAATTTAAGAGAAGATTTCTATTTAATTTATTCTATTTTTGTAAACCTTTTTCTAGGTGTATATGTGAGTGAAAGGTGTTTATTACACCGGGGTATTGTTTTTATACAGATCAGATTGTTTTAATTTAGCTTTTTTATACAGTATACAAGTACTGTAGAAGGAGAATGTGAGGTTAGAGTTGTACCTCTAGGTAAGAGTAAAGGAACGTGAGTAAAGCCTATTGTTATGTTATAAGAAGGTTTGAGCCTGAACTGCTATAGTTAGCTAGAACAATTAAATTTGAATTTTTTTTTAAATTCCTTTGAGCTTTTTTTTTTATTAATTCAAAAGAGCATACAATTTCTTTGCAAAGACTACTGCTGAGCAAGTGCCCTGTGCTTCTTGTATTGACTCCATATACAGAAGTGAATGATGAAGCACAAATTTCACAAAACCAAAGACCTCTGTCCTGTACTGAAAATGTTTACCCCCACAGTGTGCAAGAGAAGCTGGAGCAAGTCAGATAGAGCCCCCCCCTCTCTAGTCTGACTCTTCCCGGCCTACCCCTGTCATTCATTGGATTTCAATTCTTTCAATCATGGAGGCTCAGATTCACATGTGGGTGTGACCTAGGGTAGTGTACATGCAAATGCAGCCTGCCTAGGTATTCCCACTCCTCCAAAAAAAAAAAGGAAAATGACAGGAGCATGGTACGAAGTTCAATGGGCAGGTATAGTCAAGTAGGCACTGAGGGCAAGCTGTGATGAAGCGAACTCTGCGGTAAAAGGAACACAGCGCTGCTAAGTGTGTACTGTAGTAGTATTTAACCCCTTGGCGCCAGCACCTCCCGGCCCTTGAAGGGTTTCAGAAGCCGGGAGGCAGGGCGAGGTTTTATGGTCACGTGACCACCGTGATTCGCCGTCACATGATCGGGAAAGGTCCTGATCGAAAGAGATCAGGACCTTTCTATGAGTACCAGACGTGTGCTGGGAGCGCACATCCCATACTGCAAGCAGATATTCTGACAGGTATGCAGGAGACCTACATGGCATCAGTTATCGACTGATCTCTGGTGCAATGCTTTTCAGGCTCCTTTGGACAAAAATAATAAATCCACATTTTTTTTTTTTTACCTGCAAAAAAGGTGCATTTATTATTTTTGTCCAAAAAGGTGAACTTATCCTTTAATTTTTTTAAATTATAATACTTAAGTTGCACCCTAGCACATATTTCCCCCCGCACACGGGTTGCCTATGCATGAAAAAGTAATTTGCAATATATATGTTACATATCACTGCGCACGCCGAAATGAGAGCAAAATTTTAGTTAGCACCAGACTTCCTCCGTGACACTAAATTGATGACCTGTAGGGGGCTTTAAAAGTATCACCTGTAGAAAATATAGGGTGCTAAAGTTTGTCGCCATTTCACAAGGTTGGGTATGTATTTTCAAAAAAAAGGGTAATTTTTTTGCCTTTTTGTGCCATAAAAAATTTACTTCAGTGTGTTTTTTTATTTTTTATTTTTTTTGGAGGGGTAATATCGTGTGACATAAAAATTTGGAACTACCACTGTTTTATTCTCTAGGGTGTCTGCTTTCAATATATATTTTGGAGGTTTTGTGTAATCTTCAGGCCTTAAATGCTGCTTTTTGTGTTTTTTGCATATTTAAAAAAAATCAAAAGGGTTAAAGGATAATTTCACCTTCAGGAACATGTTACATATTCCACCCATTTTAAGGGTTGAACATATGACATGTTCCCGCTCCTTTAGCGGGTTGGCGATCTGAGCCCTCTGTGTGACAGCAGTATGCGGAGAAGTTCCCCGTACTAGCTGTCACTTTTTGAAAATAGCGTGGCTATGTGGGGCTGTGTGTGTTCACATGGCTGCATCATCCATTCACAGAATTCTGCGAATTAATCAACTGAGTACCGACATGTAGCTTGTAGTTCTCAATGAACTACCATGGTGGTGTTGAGTGCTCTAGTAGTCCATTGATTCTTCTTGACAGTGTGAAACTTGCCTGCCTGTATGATGTGCCATGCAGGACCTCAGCAGACTGTCAGTGTGATCTGTCTGTCTGCACATCGTACAAGCTGATCACTGGTGCACTGCTTTTTTACCTGCAAAAAAAAAAAAGTGCATTTATTTAATTTAGGTGAACTTATCCTTTAACAGAGTGGACACTGGAGCTTGACTGGTTGTTCAGCATGCACTAGAACTGAGCACCTGAGTGTTTCTTGTGTGCGAGAGGGTAACCTGAAGGAATAAAGATCTTTTTTTTTTTTTTTCTCCCCTCATTGGGGTCGGCGCCTCATTTACTCACTCAGCAAATATCCTTCTGCTGAGCATTAAGAGAGCCCAGCACTCCCCTGTCTTGACCAGCACCCAGTCATTACTCATTACATTGCAAGGTCTCTCCCCTTCCTGTTAGTCCGTGGGTGCTGGAGAGAGGGAGGTGAGGAGGAGATAAACCACGCAGTAAAAATGTAAGTCCTATAAAGCCCCTTTGTTTTTAAAAGCCCCAGATATTTCTAAAAGCACCTAAGATTTAAATACGGGTTTGGTTAGAAATATTCTTTTTTTTTTTTTTTTTAATAAGGACAAGTAGATTGGGACCCCTGTTTATTCCCTTTTGACAAGTAGTTTTTTAAAACATTTCCACACACCTGTTGCTGTTCCATATTTTGATTATTGTTTATTTATACAGTCAGGCCCATAAATATTGGGACATCGACACAATTCTAACATTTTTGGCTCTATACACCACCACAATGGATTTGAAATGAAACAACAAGATGTGCTTTAACTGCAGACTGTTTGCTTAATTTGAGGGTATTTACATCCAAATCAGGTGAACGGTGTAGGAATTACAACAGTTTGCATATGTGCCTCCCACTTGTTAAGGGACCAAAAGTAATGGGACAATTGGCTTCTCAGCTGTTCCATGGCCAGGTGTGTGTTATTCCCTCATTATCCCAATTACAATGAGCAGATAAAAGGTCCAGAGTTCATTTCAAGTGTGCTATTTGCATCTGGAATCTGTTGCTGTCAACTCTCAAGATGAGATCCAAAGAGCTGTCACTATCAGTGAAGCAAGCCATCATTAGGCTGAAAAAACAAAACAAACCCATCAGAGAGATAGCAAAAACATTAGGCGTGGCCAAAACAACTGTTTGGAACATTCTGAAAAAGAAGGAACGCACTGGTGAGCTCAGCAACACCAAAAGACACGGAAGACCACGGAAAACAACTGTGGTGGATGAACGAAGAATTCTTTCCCTGGTGAAGAAAACACCCTTCACAACAGTTGGCCAGATCAAGAACACTCTCCAGGAGGTAGGTGTATGTGTGTCAAAGTCAACAATCAAGAGAAGACTTCACCAGAGTGAATACAGAGGGTTCACCACAAGATGGAAACCATTGGTGAGCCTCAAAAACAGGAAGGCCAGATTAGAGTTGCCAAACGACATCTAAAATAGCCTTCACAGTTCTGGAACAACATCCTATGGACAGATGAGACCAAGATCAATTTGTACCAGAGTGATGGGAAGAGAAGAGTATGGAGAAGGAAGGGAACTGCTCATAATCCTAAGCATACCACCTCATCAGTGAAGCATGGTGGTGGTAGTGTCATGGCGTGGGCATGTATGGCTGCCAATGGAACTGGTTCTCTTGTATTTATTGATGATGTGACTGCTGACAAAAGCAGCAGGATGAATTCTGAAGTGTTTCGGGCAATATTATCTGCTCATATTCAGCCAAATGCTTCAGAACTCCTTGGACACCGCTTCACAGTGCAGATGGACAATGACCCAAAGCATCCTGCAAAAGCAACCAAAGAGTTTTTTAAGGGAAAGAAGTGGAATGTTATGCAATGGCCAAGTCAATCACCTGACCTGAATCCGATTGAGCATGCATTTCACTTGCTGAAGACAAAACTGAAGGGAAAATGCCCCAAGAACAAGCAGGAACTGAAGACAGTTGCAGTAGAGGCCTGGCAGAGCATCACCAGGGATGAAACCCAGCGTTTGGTGATGTCTATGCATTCCAGACTTCAGGCTGTAATTGACTGCAAAGGATTTGCAACAAAATATTAAAAAGTGAAAGTTTGATTTATGATTATTATTCTGTCCCGTTACTTTTGGTCCCTTAACAAGTGGGAGGCACATATGCAAACTGTTGTAATTCCTACACCGTTGACCTGATTTGGATGTAAATACCCTCACATTAAAGCTGACAGTCTGCAGTTAAAGCACATCTTGTTTGTTTCATTTCAAATCCATTGTGGTGGTGTATAGAGCCAAAAATGTTAGAATTGTGTCGATGTCCCAATATTTATGGACCAAATCCCGGCCAGTTCAGCAGGAACCTGCTTAGATTTGAACAATGTTTTGGCAGGCTGAATGTACACAAGTTGATCGATTGATCAACTTTGTTACAACCAACCTGCCAGATTTTACATGCAATTATCGCTAGCGGCTGTTATAGCTGCTAGCAATAATTATTGTGTTCACAATGGCTCCGCGTGTCTGTGTTGATGGGGGGGGGGGGGGGGATCGAGTGATTTTCTTTCCTGCAACCCATGGTTTCAGGAAAGAACTTTGCATCTTCTATAGTCCAAGATAGGAAATTTGTCTGTCAATTTGTTTTCTCTAGTTTGCTGTCCTGTAATTGTGAAGGCATTTTTGATGACCTTTCCCTCTACTGCAGTAGCCTAAGGCTACGTTCACACTAGCCTTGTGTGCAGGCGGCAGAG